GCATGTAAAGCAACGAGATAGTGGTCCCCAAATAGATAGACAACGGTATCCAATACATTTGGAAAAGGGGTTTACATTATCTATGTTTGTATCTATAAAGATAGATATAACAACGGCATACCACAACGCCATGCTTTCTCAGATGCCGGTATTGATGGAGTGAACCTGAGCCGCCCGGAAATACCTTTCAAAACATACGCATCGTAAGAGAAACCATTCCCAGACACGACCGATGTCTGTCATATATGCCTATACAATGACCCCTCAAACCACCCCAATGTAGGTAAATACCATGCATGGAGTGTCTTGGACCGGGAAGTGCAAGAAAGCTATTAAGCTTGTCAATATTGGTGGATGATGTCAACAATTACGTCCCGTTGCTGCAAAGATCACAGGCTGCACCTATGCGGCCGCTTTGGACAATGCTGGGGAGTCTCTGGGCGGCTTTTGGCGACACTAAAGAACTCAGTTTTGATCAGTGCAAAAGGATTGAGGATGATCGATCTTGTGTTGAAGTTTGTATCACTATGTAATTGCCACCTTGCCAGTGAAACGTTGGAGTCCCTGTTTGTGACCTTTCACAGGCCTAATTAAGTGACCTCAAACAAGGGGGGTCAAGTTCGGTCACTGGGAAGATCCGAAGCATCTGCCTTTGACACAGAGTCGAGGCTTCGGTTGTGGGACTTGCGCCAATGCAGCGAAAGTCTAAGACTGCAGACGACCGCCAGCAGTCCTGCTGGGCTCGCAGCAAGGCTGCAAGTGTTGACAACACGAGTTTCTCAACAGCGAAGAGGGATCTACTCATCCATCCCAAACGCTCCGTTCCGAGGCCGACTGGTCCGAAGCCCCCAGAGGTCCTCTCCTATGAATGTCCTCCATATCAGGGTGCAGAGTTTGGGATCAAATCGTGACGGGTTTCGACCGTCCAACCGCTGCGTTCGACCCGGAGAGCCGTTCGACCAACTCCATCGCCGGTTCGCCGACGCCGGAATCGGACATCGGGAATCCAGGTTGCAAAGGACTATAGAATATAAGATGATGAGCTTGATGCCGACCTTTTGAATTGATATAAATGAACCTGGAGTCTCAGTGACCTCAGAAAATGAGTGGAATATGGTACAAGTACCTGTTTTTATCATGTCGTATGTGGTCGTATCATTCCCATTTGAAAACGGTAGAAGTCGGGTCCGGACGGTCCAGTTGGCCGGGGCAGCAGAGGAGGGTGAAAGCCGTTCGTGTGTTCCTAGTTCGCCTGACTCTTCAGCTGACTCTTCAGGTCACAGCCAATTGCTCCTTGCCTGCAAAGTAGTGTAGTGTTTATGTGTTTTTCTTCAGGAGTGATGTGAAGTTGTGTGTGTACACCCCTATAGGGCAAGGTGGTTTAGACCCCACTGGCACCAGCAGGTAGTTGGAGCTCTAGGCGTATTTCTTTCTTTGCTCCTATCCTCCAATAGCCACCCCATTGGAACTGCTGCTCGGTTTGTCTTTTGCGACTGCAAGATGTTGGTTGTGTGACCGCCAGGTGTTTGGCAATTTGGGTTTGCGGATCAGGATCCTATCAATTGTGTGAGTTTTTTGCTTCCGTTTTGTTGTTTGGGGGGGGGGGGGGCGTGCAAATTTGAAAGCCACACGCATTGGAATCATTGGAGGGATTGTCATGATTGTTGATAGACATGGGGTGAGTGTACAACTTTTTTTTTTGTGTGTGCTTGAATGTCTTAGGAAGCTTATTTGATATTGACACATTTAAGCATTTTTCAAAGTATCAATGTGGCAATGGAATCTGAATTTCGCAGGATCTAATCCAAGAAAAGAGTGTGAGTTCGATGGGTTCCCAAGGTCATGACATCTAGGCAAGCAAACAACACTCATGGTTGGGAGGGCACCGGAACAAGAATGACCATGACCATAATATATACCAATATCGTTTATCCAATATGATTTTAGTCGCTTTTAGTCAAACCAACTTTTTCCCTCAGAACTCCTTGGACTGGAGTGTTTACTGTACCTATATACATTGACCCTTGACCCAACTGATCATCAGATATGCCGCTCAGGCCAAAAGGGGGTCAAAGCAAAGGGAGCCCCTGTGCACCTTGGTAGCTTGGCCTCAGTAGTCTCTCCCACAGCCCCCCCGATTTTGATATACCCCAGACGCTCCATTTTCTGGCTCATAGAACTATGGCCGACATGAAAACCATGGAAAACCACCAAACCACCAGTTTTTTTCATGTAGGCCAACTAAGGTTGAATTGCGCCCCAGTAACATGGAGTGTCTGAGTGGCCATAGGTTGCGCCCCAGTAACATGGAGTGTCTGAGTATGTTGTGTTTTTTTCATCCACATCGCTTCGCTGATCCAAACCAGGTTTTCTCACGGACTTCGCCGCTTGGGCGGTCCTGGGCGGAGCATCCCCGACGGGGCACCCGACCGCTGCTCAGCAGAGTCAGTCATCGTGGGGGAGCAGTGTTTTCTTTGATTTGTAGAGTCTCAGGACTCTTGATTCACCAAAAGCTTTCATTTGGGTTTATTGGGTGGGTGCCAGGGTTTGCTTGATTGAGTCCTAATGTCGAGCCATGCTGAATCGTTCGAAGGTGTGGGATCAAGACTGATATCAGACCATGCAGATCGAAAGGAGCGAGGGGGTCCTTCATGAGGATCGATCGCAAAGACTCGATTTCAGAGGCATTGCCAGGACATGTTGGCAAAGAATGTGACCAAACTCATTTTGGTGGGGTGGGGGTCCCCACTTTGGGGGAAATGGTCAATTCCCGACCTTCAAGGCGGTCAGAGATCGTCACAGCATGTCAGACGTGGCCATCTATTGGTGTGGTGAACTTGCAGCTATAGGCGTGCCAAACGCCATTTCACCATCTACTGGAGACCTCCATGGCCCCAGTGAAGCATCGCCCAAACATGCGTTGGCCGAGGAGGCTCTAACTAGAAATCAAGGCCTGTCCAAAACAACCTGGGGAAATGTTGGCACGCCTTCCATACTTCCAAGCCGCAGAAAAAGGATTGGCAGCGTGGATGTTCCATAGGCCTTTGATGGCCTTTGTTTAAATATTGCTCACGATTCTATAGAAAGAATGTGTACATTTTGTTTGCACAGTCCTTTCCAGTTGCTTTGATGTTGTCTACTCGACAGTTACTGAAAGTTCTTTACCACAGTACTTTTTTTTTTGCATGTCACATTCGCATCCAGCTTGACAAAACACCATTGAAAACATTTGAACACATAAATACCTAGAAGATCCTTTCGGCAGAAATTATTGCCTTTTTCGGGAAGAGCGGCTCTCCCCGTCCTGGGGCGGAAATCAACTGTTTGCCGCGGAAACGTTTTTGTTGCCGCAAATTTTCCCTTTCAGGAATCTAGTGAGAGACTACATATATTCTATATAGAGCAGTTGAATCTTTTTGGTGGTTTGCATGTGCATTGGGCATTCCTGCCTGGAATGGTCACCTCAATGACAAAAAAAGATGGCGGCGCTTAAGTTTCCACCTCCACCTGCAAATCTGGCTACCATGTTTTTGATTTTGAAGGTTTCTTGTGCGGAATGAGCACACGAGCAGTAAAACCAGTCCAAAGTTGAAAACACCTGGCGCGAAAATGCCCGGGAAAAAGGCGGAAATACCCGGGAAAGAGGAAGAACAGTGCCCTTGAAGGGCTTGAACATATATCGCAGCCTCTTTGTGAATGTCATGAATTTAGAAGTAGGATGTCAGATCTTGATATGTGAAACTATGGCCTTGCAGAACGATATGTGGTCTGCAATCATGGAAGAGACAACCTGGTCGGTGTTAGGCAGTGGTGATGGTTTTTGAATTGCTATGTCGGATTTTACTCGAGGCAAAAATTGCCCGCTGGCCGCGGAAATTCCTACCTGGCGCGGATTTACCCTAAATCCACGAATCCTCCCGGGCAAATCGGACTGAGGCAGAAATTTTTGCCTCAGGTGCTTTAGGTATATATATATACATATATTGGTTACTAGTGTAGCGTAGTATAGTGAAGTGATATTGTAATGAGTAGTTGACTGTACTATATAGTCGTTCTTGTAGTGAGTCGTGAGAGGAGACACACACGTTCGCCGCGTTCGCGTTGCTGCATGACTGATGTGGCCAGGTGGTGGTCTGGGACATTCTCCAACAACGAGAGATCCACTCCTGGCTTTTGGACGACTCTTGATGACAGGTATCCAGGGCTGTCGATGACTGGGGAGCGCTCTGTTGTCCGAGGTTGAGAAGAAGACATGTTGAAGATCAAACACTTGGACTTCTTGATAGTGTACTAGCTCTTGTTCCCATGGTCAACCTGTAGCAAGATCAAAGATGTTATCGAAAGGTTTTGCTAGTTTCCCATTTCCTTCGTTGTTGCACCGGTCGACTTCATGATTCTTTTGCGGAACTGAAGTCGACCGGAGCTGCTGATTCATCTTCTTTGGACATTTATCAAAGGGTCTTCGCAAATGATGCTTTTCAAGTTGTGTTCTATCAGAATTTGATTGTTTGGAGACCTTAGCACCAGGGACCGACATCTTAAAGAGAAGAGCGGGAACCCAGATTTTCCACTATATTATGCCGTATGGCTGTGAGTGTCAAAATCTTAATATCCGTGAGGGACAGTCATCAAAATTTGGGGTGCAAGTCCAAAGCTGCTGTTGTGGTTGTTGTTGCTGTGTTTGTTGGTTGTTGTTTGGTGGTTTTGGCAGCTCCTCTCCTCTCCTCTCCTCTCCTCTCCTCTCCTCTCCTCTCCTCTCCTCTCCTCTCCTCTCCTCTCCTCTCCTCTCCTCTCCTCTCCTCTCCTCTCCTCTCCTCTCCTCTCCTCTCCTCTCCTCTCCTCTCCTCTCCTCTCCTCTCCTCTCCTCTCCTCTCCTCTCCTCTCCTCTCCTCTCCTCTCCTCTCCTCTCCTCTCCTCTCCTCTCCTCTCCTCTCCTCTCCTCTCCTCTCCTCTCCTCTCCTCT